GGGAAAGAGCTTCCCGATTCCAGATTTGTTCTCGCACAGATAGATTCACTAAGCCGACTAAGGGGAACATACCTATACACAAGCAGAACAAGAATGTAAAAAGACTCCCTGTGAGAATGTTCATATTTTATAAGAATACAAAGTTGAATTAAAGACTGCCGGATTTGAGTTTTGTATACAACTGCAGAATTATCAAGCACCCTATTTAAAATATAAACATTTGCTATCACGGGGATGCATTTAAAACGAACATACCAAGAGAATCACAGATAAATTGACCCGAGATATAATTTTCAGGATAGATAATCCAGCATCAAAACAAAATGGTATCAAGAGAAGTCATTTAAGGTTATTACCTGCAGAGAAACTCCGGGTCTGATTCTTCCCTGATATCATGAGGCCGGCAAGCATCAACTACCATACGAACACATGAATCACCACTCTTTATCGGGATGATGTTCCAAGCATGTGGCACAAAATCTAGGTATCCTCTAACAAGTTCACATTGCACTGGAGGCTCCATACGATCGCATAGGTACTGGTAACAAAATATCATACCCAAGAATTAGCAACTAATAAAAGAAAAAGCACAGGTTTCAAACACCAAACAAAAATCGAATCACTGGATTACCTTCATGAGCAGGGCTCTATGCCTACAGACACCAAATTGCAGCTTCCCAAGAGGAACTATAATAGAATTTCGTCTTGACTTAATCGAATGCAGGGCTTTTTCACATATGTCAGTGAGATTAATGTCTTCGGACGTTTTCAAAACCTGTTTCTTCAAAGCAGCCAACTCATCGATGTTCCCGGTCGAACAGGTGCAAATAAAGGGTTTCTGGTAATTTGTACCAGACATCGCCTTCCGGGTTCTTTCGAGAAATGAACTTCTGTCACTGCCCCCAAAATGATCTGATACGAAAAGCGCCAGCAGTGATGCAATCTGTAGGTTACCAATGAGGATCCCATTCGCATCTTTGGCTAAACAGTTCAACTGCTTCAATTGAACCACCATCACTCGGGCGGAGAGAGTGATCGCATCTAACTCTTCGTCTACTCCACTTCAATATTAAAGAAAAAGGTAATATGAGTTTTAGGCCATGTATATATATGATGAATGGCATTTTAAATCCTAGCTGAATGCAAGAACAATTACCTGTCCAGGAGAATGACTTCGCGTGAATCAAGGGGCAAAACTTCCTCATACTTACAAAGAGTCATAAAGGGCCGATCACGTCCAGCATCAAAAAAGCCGTCAGGAAGATGATCCTCACGGCTGCAAAATGAAGTGCTGCTATACTTGTGTGATAACTTGGCACTATCAGCGGTTGGTCTATGACATTTTGAACGTTTTGGGTTATCTAAATCCCCCACGTGACGCCTCTTTGACTTGTGATTGGTTTTCATACTCTCTGAAGAAGAATCATAATCGGAACCAGCAGCTACATCCCTTCCTGAAGAGGGTAAAGATGCTTTGATACCACAACATCCATTGTTGTCTCCTTTAGATGTTGATTGGATCTCAGAACTTTGACAATCATCAGAAACAAAACCAGCTTTAGAACTGCTCTTTCCTTCTTCAGAGGTAATGACAGAATTTCCATTCTCAGCATCTTCTAGTTGTTTATCATCATCGTCATCCAGGCAGATGATATCAACTGAGCACTCTCCAGTTTTCTGGACAACAGTCATGTCGTGCTCCCCAGTTTTTTCAACCATATCCACCTTCGAACTTAAGCCTTCAGTATGGAACTCTCCTTTCCACTTCCTGTTGTTGTTCAAGCGTTCTTGCCTAGCTCTTTGCTGGAAATAATGCTGCCTCCGCTTCCATCTCTTACTTGATCTTCGAGCAGAGAAGCTTCTATTACTGGAAACAAGTCCATTTGACATGCTTGACGGGTTACGATGACAGCCTGCATAATCATACACAAAGAGAAGTTATAGTGGACACAACAAGATGCTCGCACAAAAACAAAAATGACAGTAAAGAGGAATAGAGCTCTTGCTTAACAAAAATAATCCTCACCTTTATGAGGCACGCTTATGGCATTATTTTCAAAAGGGGTTTCATAGACATCCATCTCAACTGCACAGCTGCTGCATTCATCATCCCTAGCATCTTTAACATTTCCTTCCAAATTGCAGTTTATCCAAGCAGGTATCGAGCAATAACTCTGTAACTTATTATACTGAAGCAACCAGCAAAACAAGAAGCCCAGTCAGAATAAAGAGTTGATGAAAGACAAGCAAATACTGAAGAAATAACACCACAATTCACATACGAAAAGTATATCTTCAACTGTTGGAACACAGAAGAAAAGATCAAGCACCTGTAGATATAAATTTTGAAGTCTACGCATCAAACATAGATCCAGAGTATCCATAGACACCAGCCGATTGTTTGAAAGGTCTAGACTTTCCAAATTTTGCAATAACGATAGAGCTGCTGGTAGATCCACCAGCTTGTTATGAGCGACCTTCAAGAATATTAATGAACTCAGACGGCTTATTTCATTTGGCAAACTCTTAATCTTGTTAAACGAGAGGTCCAGATACTCCAGACTTTTAAGGCAGCCGATCTCAGGAGGAAGGTATCTGCAACAAGTAGAACAGATTTAAATCATGTCTGATAACTCAGATCAAACCCTTTAAATAACAATTCAGGAATGAAAACCCTTAAACTATCACCAATAATAGACACTCACGCCTAACTTTACACAACAATCTAGATATCCAACAACAGGAACAGAAGTAAAACACAACAGTCAGCTACAGGAATGCCAAAATACACTGAACCC